AGGGTGACCTACTTTTTCTAAGCAACTCTTTGAGAGAAGAATTTGGTCACAAGCTCTATGGGTTCATCCCAGTGGCATGGGGCAAATTCTGCTTTTCAGTTCCCTGTGCTATTTGGCCCTGTAGTGTGGTTTTAGTTTTATTTCTGTTCAGCTCTCTAAACTGTGGTGAAGTTTGTCAGCTGACAAACACAATATTCTGTGGAGTAAGTTGGGAGAAATAATTTTTATTTTCTTTTGTAGGAAACTGGATTTTATCTCCTAATGATAGTGCTTATTTAAAGCAAAATGATGCGTTTTCACTCACCTCTGCAGTTCAGTAACTCCTCCAGGAAAGGAGCTTGCTTTCTTAGCCTTTCTGGCTGGGACAAACAAGCATCAGGGCAGGGTGGTGTGTATTGTGTGTCCAGGTGGTGTTTCAGAGGCAGGTAAGAGCAGGCTCTGCTGGAGTGTGGGGCTGAGCCTCCCCTGGCACATCAGCCTGGCTGACTTAGAGGTGATTTAATTGTGCCAGCTCTGGTTTAGGGGTAACTTCATGCCTGAACTTTATACCTTTTCCCCCCTCTACTGTGCCTGGTGAAGCCACAGCTGGAATACAGCATCCAGTTCTGGGCTCCCCAGTTCAAGAGAGACAGGGAACTGCTGGAGAGAGTCCAGGGGAGGGTGACAAAGATGCCAAGGGGGTTGGAGCATCTCCCTGCTGAGGAAAGGCTGAGGGAGCTGGGGCTGCTCAGCCTGGAGAAGAGAAGGCTGAGGGGAGACCTGATCACTGCCTACACGTGTCTGAGGGTGGGTGCAGGAGGATGGAGCCAGACTCTGCTCAGCAGTGCCCAGGGACAGGGCGAGGGGCAACGGGCACCAGCTGGAACATGGGAAGTGCCCCTGAAAGGTGGGGAGAAACTTCTTGGCTGTGAGGGTGACAGAGCCCTGGGACAGGCTGCCCAGGGGGCTGTGGAGTCCCCTTCTCTGGAGAGATTCACCCCTGGATGCAGCCCTGTGGGATGTGCTCCAGGGGGTCCTGCTGGAGTGGGGGTTGGACTGGATGATCCCTGGAAGGTCCCTACCAGCCCTGACAGGTCTGTGGTTCTGTAAAGCTCAGTGTCAGGGCAGGTTATCTGCCTCAGAGGTTCACTGAGGTGTTCTTGGGGAATGAGGGAAGAGTCAGCACAGGAAAAATCCTTCCCCCCCTCTGCCCTGGTGTGAGTTTGCCTTTGCTGGTCTGGTGGATGGCCCTGCCATACTAGTAGCTGCTGGATCACTAGTGTCTTGTTGCTGGAGGGGTTCTCACAGTGCTTTCAACATCTGCTCAGGCCTTTATTTTCTTGTGGGACAAAGTCTTCAGCAGGGTTCCAAATCCATTTGAA